AAAAACAAAATTAATCAATTTGGAAATATGTCCCAAGATAATTTATCGCACCCACACGCAATTTTTGGCATGGCTAAATATTTATCATTATTTCGTAAACAATTATCTTTCAAATTATACAGCGCGTTTAATACGTTTTGGTAGGAAGGTTTTTCATAATACTGACATTTTGTAACTAAATAGTAAATATTTCTTTCTGGAAAAATAAGTGCAGCTACTTCTCCAACATTTTTATTTTGCCCAATAAGTTCTTGTACACAACCAAATCTCTGTTTAAATTCCACGGCAATACCTTTACTCATTCTAAAATCTTTTGATACACAGTGAGCTAATGAAAAATGCTCTGGACAGTTAAAAAGGTCACCTTTTATTTCTTTTACATTCGAATTAACACATTTAATTTTATTTATATCTTCGATAACTTCATTAAATTCTATTAAATTTTTTGAATTAGTTACATTATAAATTCTACTTAGAGCGTCAACATTTCCATGCTTTCTACCTGGCCTATGTATGATTTCGAAATCATATTCGCTTAAAAGTAACGCCCATCTAGCTAGACGCGAAGTTGGATCTTTCAAATTTAATAGCCATTTCAACGGTCTGTGATCTGTAATAATTGTAAATCTTTTTCCATACAATAACCATTTAAATTGTTTAACACCAAATAATACTGCAGCTAATTCTTGCTCGGAAACAGTGTAATTTTTTTCAGCTTTATTAAATTTTCTACTAGCGAAAGCAATAGGTTTAATAGGTTTTTCAAATCCGTCCCTTAATTGACTTAAAATGGCTCCCGCTCCTACACCACTAGCATCGGTTGCTAAAATAAACGGTTGACTAAAATCTGGATAAATTAATACGGATTCAGACGTGACTGCAGTTTTTAGTATATCTATTGCTTTTAAAACTTCTGGGGTAATTTCGAATTTTATGTCCTTTTTTGTTAAGTTAGTTAAGGGAAATGCAATGTCTGCAAAATCTTTGATAAATCTACGATACCATCCAAGTAAACCTAAAAATGCTCGCACGTCTTTTACATCTTTTGGTACTGGGAATGACTTTACGCATTCAATTTTCTGTGGGTCCGGTTTAATTCCATCTTGCGAAACAATGTGGCCCAAATATTTTACCTCTCTCAATAGAAATATGCATTTACTCGGTTTTAATGTTATATTAGCATCAATTAAACGTTCAAAAATGAGTGCTAACTTTTTAATATGATCAATAGGTCCTGTCTGATTAAATACTATAATATCATCTAAATATACCATGCACATTTCATTTGTAAGTCCCGCTAACATTGAATTAACGAATCGTTGGAAAGTCGCTGGTGCATTTATTAACCCGAACGGCATTCTAGTATACTCAAAATGTCCATCAAGTGTGCTGAAAGCTGATAATTCGATTGCTTCTTCTGTTAAGGGAATTTGATGATATGCGTTATTAACGTCAAAAGTACTAAATAACGTAGATTTGCCGAAAAGTTCTAAAGTCTCGTGTAAGTTAGGTAAGGGATAATAATCGCGTTTAGTTACTTTATTCAAAGCTCTATAATCAATACACATTCTAATTTTATCGGTTCCATCTTCACTTTTCTTAATTATTAAAACTACTGGAGCACTCCAAGCTGATTGCGAGTGTCTTATGATACCCGATTCTAATAGTCTGTCAATTTCCTTTCACAAGGTTCCTCGTTGATGATAAGGTACTCTATAAGGTCGTTTTGAAATAGGCAAAGTATTTTCGTCTAATACAATATGATGTTTAACTTTATTCGTACTTGATAATATTTTACTACCTGGATTGAACGCTTGTTTGTATTTACAGATAAATTCGCATAATAAATTTCTAGTATTTTCATTCAAATGGGAAAAATCAAATTCTTCATTTATCCAATCATAATCAGTTACATGAATTTTATAAATATCAATGGGGTTTTTATTTTTCTATGACTGAGTTTTCATATGATAAGGTTTTATTGTTCCCACAACTCAATTTTTCTTTAACTGAACAGGAAATTCGTTAACATTTACTACGCGGACTATCGAATTAGTTGGATTTATTAAAGTGCACGTTGTATAGACGCCCTGTGTATTCAAATTTGTAGGTTCTATTAATACTGAATCACAAATAAAGTTTCTCGTTAATTTTATTCTACAGTTCATTTCAACCCGCGGTGGTATCTCTATATTCTCAACTAATATCGCGTTACACTCAATACAGGTATTGTTCTCGGTATTATTCTTATCTAAAACTTCATACTTTGGTTTTCTCCCGGTGAGACCTTGTGCTTTATCACCAACGTAGGGTATACTTTCTGCCTTTAAAGACTCAGCAGTACCATGGTTATTGATATATCTTACATCCGTTTTGCTCGTATGACTCTTTTCATAATTCTTATCAACCGTCTGAGTTAAGTACTTTCTAAGAATGGTAGTTTGTTCGCGCAATTTTAATTCTGGCAATTTACTACAGTCGTTGCTCATATTTTTACATTCAAATTCACCACAATCTCCTCAATTTTCCTCTATCTTATACCTATATGTACTAGTACCTATCTTTAATTTTCTATTTCTACTAATATCAGTGCTTCCCTCCGGAATTATTGTAACCTCATTAGAGTTATATATTTCATCATCAATCATTAAATCATTATCAAATTCAATTATTTCACTTACATAATTCTTGTTCGTATTCTCATTATTATCTCTATAACATCTAACCTCTGTATTTTCATTCGATATTCTCGTTTCATTAATATTTTCCCTATACGCGAGTCGCGCTAAATTATTTTCGTCAAAGTTCTCCGGCTGTAGCTGTAGGACTGAACTCTATCAAAAATTTTATTATTATAACTCATACTTCGCTTACTCGGAGTCCAAGCATGATTAATTTTGTTAAAACTCGTTTCTATTTCCTCAATTTCCGTTTTTACTAAGTTACTTCCCGCAGTCTTCTTCTCTGGAGCCTGAGCCGAGTTAACTATATTTTCCGGTAATCAACCTGTCATGTTTTTATTTCTAAGATCTATCGTCGTCAAATCAATTGGTTCACATTCACGCTCGTTGTCCCGTACTAATTTTCGTTCGCTGTGTTCGTCATAAATATCTGTACCTCTTAATGCATGCAGTGATAGCAATGGTATATCATACCCCATATTTTTAAAATTATTCGGTTATAACAGATGTTTACTTGATTTCTTATACAGAAATCTCTCCCTAAAATTCCTGCAACGCCTAGTGGAACTTGGTCTTTACATACTATTAATTGCAAATCACCTAAGGAAAAATTATTATAAGCAAAGTTAACATTAACCGTGCCTAAAATCGGAATAACATGACCTGTGACGCTAGTTAAAGTAATATCTGTTTCTTCCATTATAACCCAACTTTTCTTAATATAATTATTTTTTATAATTGATACGGCAGAACCTGTGTCCACTAAAAAGTTTAATGTAACTCCGTTAATTGAAATTTGGATGTATCCTGGTGAAACAATAGTATTAAAATGGATCTATGGAATTTGGAAAATTTTTCTAGGGGGTATATATTTCTATCGCCACTTTTTAATCCAACGTTTCCTCCTGAGGTACTGTAGGTGAAACGTGATGGGAATTTAAAGACGGCCGTGTTAAATTATTCTGATTAAAAGTCGTAGTCTGGCGTGGAATCGCTCCCGTATTACGATCGATTGGTCTATTGAAAGAGAAGCTTTGGTTCCTATCACGCGTAAACTGCGGTTCATCCCGTGTCAAATTTCTCCTACGATCATTATTAGAATGAAAGTTATCATTTCTAAATTGCACATTCGACTGATTATTAGTACTGTAACGATTATTTTGATAGAAATTTTCTCGACTGTTATTATTATTATTATTATTAAAATGAAAGTTATCATTTCTAAATTGCACATTCCACTGATTATTATTAATACTGTAACGATTATTTTGGTAGAAATTTTCTCGACTGTTATTATTATTATTAAACGAGTGATTTCTATTACTAAAATCCCTAAAACTTACATTATCTGCCTGGCAATTTCGTGCAAAATGGCCTGGTTTGCCACATTTATAACACTATATTTTCGCGCGTTTCGTCAACAAACATCATTGTTGTATTTGAATTTCGCGGTCGGAGCATAAATTCGATTAATTCCTCCTGTCTAGCAGACTCTTCCGCTTTATCAATATTTAAATTTGGTTCCCTCATAAACACAGTTCCTACATTTTCTAAAAGATTTTTATTTAATCCGGCTTTAAATTGATTTAATACTAACTGCTCTACTTTTTTTCCTTATTCCTACTATTTCGCCTACTTCAGCCGTTCCCAAATCCTCATCTAAAATCGCGACTCCTATTAATTTTAATCTAGTCACAAATTGACTAACTGACTCATCATGCCGTTGGTAGCATTTACTTAAATTATTTAGAGCCTGTCTCGGAATAATAATAGGTGAAATTCCGTGTAGTTTAATTGATCTAGCGTAGCATCCGTCCTAAAAAAGTTATAAGCATCTCCGATCAATCTAAATTTAATAATATTTAAAGTAGTTTTTTCGTCCCAATCATCTAATTTTGCTCGCTGTTCGATTTTTTCGAAATATCTTCTAACATTAAATTTACCTGAAAATGGTTCTACTGTATTTGCGATCATTCCTAAACTAACTTTTTGTGTTATAACAGTTGAAGCGGAATTATCGCTATTAAAATCTGAACTAGTTGGAACTGGATCTGTCATTTTGCCTATATATTTTTCAACTCAACAATTTTCTATAAATTAGACAATCTCCCAACAAAATCTTTCAAAACAGAATAAAAAATTGTAAAATAAAATACGCTAGAATAATCAACATAAAAATCATAAATTATATCAATACCTGTAAAAATAAAATAAAATGTAACATCCTAATCTGTGCTTAATCAGAATTGTGAATAACCTTTAATAAATTTATTTATTAGAGCTCAAATCCCCTTAGCTGCCAGCATTGTAATGACCACCCTATTTGGTGTCTGAGCGGTGTATTCTATTCGAACCCTCTTTACTAGAGGAGGTAGCTGCCACCACCCCAGCTGGTGGTCTGCCGGGGAAATCGTCGCTCTTCGGAGGGTGGGTGTCGTAGCCCTAAAGGTTTGGGATTGAGCTCCAATATAAACACACCGCTAATTTAAATGATACTTTTAATAAATTATGCTGTCACAAAGAAACAAACAAAATAAACAAAAAAGAAACAATTCCTATAAAACAAACAAAATTTCGTTACTTCTTCGTTCGGTCCTAGGAGTAGGTTGTAACCTTTGGTACCCTAGAGAGAATTTTTGATTTCTATACAAAAATTAAAAAATTTGGTAAGGTACTGTAACTTTACTTATAGTTTTATTTCACCCAAATATGTTATAGGTAGGTATAGATAATCGAAAATAATTTAATTTATTTCATTCAAAATTTTAAAAATGTGACCTTGACATTTACTCTTGCGCTGTTTTTTAGAAAATAGCATTGAGCGACTCCAAACTAATTAATGCAAAATACACTACACTCACGTTAGTTTTCGACAGCTTTAACAAAAAATCTGAAAACTTTGAGAGAAACTGTACTTTTTTTGAAAAGAAACGTCATTTTTTTCTGACTACAAATTCGAAAAGAGCGTGTCCGAAATCATCGAGAACTACATTTTCACATTTTCACTTTTTGTAAGAAAATTTATAATATGTAATCTTATTTTTCGATATTTATTGCTTGTTACTGTGAATAAAAGAAGGAAATGATCTTTTTGTACTGTATTTATATAAAAATTATAATTACATGTCACAAATTTATACTATGTCACTTTTATCAATCCAAGAATTATGTGTCTTGTCTAGCCCTAACTATTTCACGAGTAGTTTACCATTTCGGTTTCTTCTGAGGACTTTTTCAATTACATAGAAATCGTGATGTGTAGTTTTCTGAATTTCCTCTTCATAAAAGGCTCCTTGAATTTCTTGATTGTTTTGATCTTTCAATAGATAGGTAGTTGGATTACTCCTATAAACCTTTCTTATTATAAAGACCTCGCTGCTTCAATTTGGTGTGTAAGATTTACTAAATGTCTCTCTGTATTTGCTGATTCTTACATAATCCCCGACTTTAAACTTTACTGGTTTCGGATCGACGGTTTTTAAATAGCTATAAGCTGTTTGCAACAGCTTAGTAGCATTTTTGTTATTTACTTTAATGGGGGCCAGACAGTGGCGGCTCGTGAAGGATGACTCTAGGACTCCGCCCCCCCAGATATTTTCAAACTATAAACTTAAAATAATGTATTTATTTAAATCAATAAGAAATCTAAATAGCATGCATCCAATATCTCTTGGATGTTAGGTTGGTTGCATAGAGTGCTTGTACTCCGTGAACGTAGCTCAGATTAATGCCATCTGCCATCTATGATAGTACCAAAGAGTTATGTTTGACCGCGCACGCAATCCCCACTCTATCGCGGACCGTGAAATCTGAGTCCATCGTGCAAACATATTTTTACATATGATTGGACAAATTGGCGCGAATGGCACGTGGAGGGGATAGGCGACGATAGGCTCGCGAGATTTGTTTTGGGACTCCATGAGGCAGTAGCCCGTATCACTGAAGTGTGGTTATACGTGTTTTGTTTTTGCTTTGGCGCTTTTTAAGACATTATATTTTATAAGTTTAAGTTTAAAATGAGGGTTTGTGAAATATAAAATTTGTTATTAGTAATTTAAGTTTAGAGGAAAAAGTCGAATTCAAAAATAACGGACGTCCAACGCCAGTATTGAATTTAGTTCAGGTGCAGAAAGAGTGCAAAAGTGGGCCGGCTTTCGCAAATTTGATAAAAACATTTATGATAAGACCCTGTGGTCGTGTGGTTGTGACCAAACAAATAGATTTTTTTGTTTTGTATGTTTATTGTATGGAGGAGGCGAAGAAAACTGGACGAAAACTGGAGTTTCTGACTTGAAACATTTAGAAATTAAAATTAAGAAACATGAAAATTCTCCTAAACACCAAAATAAGTTGGTGAGTTTTTTACTTTTAGGAAGAGTAAATATTGCTTCTTGTTTAAATAGTGCTATGCAGAACAAATAAATAGTCATAACGAAATAGTTAAGAAAAATCAATTGCTTCTTTCAAAAATTATAAATATCTTAAAACTATGTGGTACATATGTAACCTTCCTCTTCGTGAACATAATAAAAAAAGTGACTCGGTAAACAAAGGGCTATTTTTAGAACTGATAGACTATACTTAGTGCAAAAATTGATCCCGTTTTAGATAAACATCTTAGTGATGCCCATGTTTTTAAAGGAACTTCAAAAACTATACAGAATGAACTATTACAGTAATCTACATAATTACATCCTAAATGGGTTGGTTGATCGATTATCCACTTCAGCCCCCACACGTTGGAATTTTATTTCTCGAATTGTATCTAAGTAGCTACTTTACACACTGACAGTATTCATTTTGGGGTACTTGCAAAACACAATGACCTTCAAATTCCTTAAAATTTTTCCCCTGCGGCGCTAAGCGGCGGGCTACCGTTCCCCGCACCCCCCGCAGCTCTTATGATGTACGTCCTCTTTTCAAAATGCCCCTCCTGTATTCAAACCCACGGGCCGCCACTGGGGCCAGACCATGCGTTCGATGTTGTGTCTCATTATACCTGTTCACAATCTCTGGTAATATATTTATCCATTTATAAGTCCCTTGAACGCTGAACTGCTTCCACATTAAGTTTTTCAGTGTCCTGTTTACTCTTTCCACAACACTAGCTTTTAAATTTGAGTACGTGCTGTAATGATTAATTTTGAATTGTGTCATCAAGTTCTTAAATTCTTTATTGTAAAACTTCTTGCCTAAATCTGTCTGACAATTATGTGGCATGTATTTCATCTGGGATAAGATCTTAGCCATAGCATTACTCACTTCTTTTGCGGTTTTGCGATTAACAGGTTCCGCCCACACAAACTTGCTAAATACGTTTATAACGACAAGAATGTATCGGTAACCCTTGTTAACCTTTGGATAAGGTATCGTTTCCACCAAATCTGCTTGAATTAAATCATTTAATCCTCTAACTAAAACGTGTCTTCTAAAATTTTTTCTAGCTGGCTTATGGAGTTCGTTTACTACTACTTCTTTGATATTAGACATTCTTTGCTATAGGACACTGTAAAACTATTTCTGCATATAAGGACGGATGTCCTAGTACGACATCGAAAAATAATATATCTCCTTTATTTATAGTGCGTCCAATAAGACTTTTCATCTTAAAGGCTGATCCGAAATTAAGAAACATGTCACAATCGGCTGGAAAAACATCTACATATTCGATTTTTCCAGATACCGGAAAAATATATTCTTTTTTATTCTCCAACGTATACCTATTCAATGCTTTGTTTTCGAAACCATTTATCTTTACAATGATGTAACGATGGTTCGCAAATGTAAAATGGAGCAGATTGTGGGGAAGATATCATATTTGGTGAAACATAAGGAACAGATCTGTCTTTTAAAATATGTCGACCAAATTTATCGATGAGCATGTTTTTCAAATAACAGTTTATGACTAAATGGGGTTTATTTCGTGAAATTTTTTATTTTATAATTTTTGCCTCTCTGAGCTCGTCAATAATCGCTATCAGTTCGTTATTGTGTGAATTATTTCCAGCCATTTGTGACGCTATCAACAACCGCATTCTATTAATTATCTCATTAGGGTCATCGAAGTAGACGTAATCGATTTTATTATTGGATAAGTCTAGCAATCTACCTTTAGTGTAAGATTTTAGCGATTGTGTTCTACAGAGAGGTTTATTTGGTGGAGGAGGTTTGGAGAATGGTTGTGGGTGTGTTATCGATTTCAAAATTCCCTTTTTTATTAGATACGGTCTAATTATTGTTCTATATTTTTCTGTTTGCGTCCCCTGAATCTGCTCTTCAGGTTTGAGGTTTCTANCTACGGAGAGGTTTATTTGGTGGAGGAGGTTTGGAGAATGGTTGTGGGTGTGTTATCGATTTCAAAATTCCCTTTTTTATTAGATACGGTCTAATTATTGTTCTATATTTTTCTGTTTGCGTCCCCTGAATCTGCTCTTCAGGTTTGAGGTTTCTACGGTACGCATTAGATCTATTTAAAATATCCATATAATTATCTAAATCTGATTGCTTGTAACCTATAGGTTGTTTCTTAAACAGTAACTCATATAATCCGGGAGTTCTACTATAAGTTACACCTCCTACTTTAATATCATTTCCAATAATGTCTAGATCTGCTCCTCCAATTTTAAATTTCTCTGTTTCGATATCATGCGTTATGCCATATTGACGATCAATTTCCTTTTCATCTCCTCTTACGGATAATATATTGCCGTGGTAACGGGTTATAAGCTTCTAAGTATTCTTGAAAAACTTTTGTGTAGGAAAGGTCTTGAAGAAAAGCACGACTTTTTTCCAGTTCTTGGTTAATCAGTTCACTACTATTCTGGTCTTCCGCAACTGACTCTGTCGGATCATACTGAAACGTATCTTCGAGAAAACTAGGCATTGACATAGGTAGTTGAGGATAGTTACATGTGTCTAACTTTTTAGGTGTAGACGCTGGTGTTTCGAATTTAACATTCGTAGGTTCTTGTTTAATCGCCACATCTGTTTTAATGTTGGATAATAGTTTTTGCAACGGTTCCGTAATAGGTTTATATAACTTTTTCCAGTTGAGCCTGAGATTGGGCTATATCTGATTTTAAATTTCTATATTTTTGTCGAACAGATTTTCTGATTTTAATCAGTTCTTTTGCTAGTTCTTGATTCATTGTCATTATCTTAGATAATGATGAAGTATGATATGTGTATATTTATTTATAATAAGAGCAGTCAGGTTGGCCGAATGGTTTAAGGCGCCTTGTTTAAGCCTGGGTTCCGTAAAGGAGCGTGGGTTCGAATCCCACACCTGACAAACTTTTTTATGATGAAATGTAGACATCAAACCCTTTTCTATACCTCCCTGATGATACAGGATAGTCTTTATCAATAACAAGGAATCCATATTTATCTTTCCAGCATTCACCGCATGTCATTGAATTGTTGAAAAGACATGTCTACATTGACGTGGTTGTCATAAATATGTTTTAAATTTGTAACATCTTGCTTAAAAACAATAATAAAGTTCGAGTTATCCCTTATGAGTTGGTTTGGGATTGATGAATATGTCTGACACAAATAAAAACAGTCCGTATTTTTATGACGGCCGAAACAGAAATAGTCTCTCACAATGCTCTGATTGCAGCAAATTACATCGTCAAAAATTATTACAGAATTAGGTTTTATTTCACTGGGAGGAATTACCTCGTTGCCGTCACTGAATTCATAATATCCTATGTCTTTTAAAGGAGTTAGCAACTGTTTCAAGTATTGATAGGAAGTGTCTCGAACACGATATTCAATATAGTAATAGCTCAGATCTAAAGGATCGTCATAAGGCTGACTATCAACTTGAACAGCGTGTTTGGGAGAGAGTTAAATCTAAAGAGGCTACTTTAGCGAAAAAGCTGCTGCGTGGATTGTTACCAATATCATGACAGCGAAAAGGAAATTGGGTATGAGGTTAAGAAAGAAACTAAAAAGGGGTAAGGGTGTTCGTAACAAACGTATAAAAAAAGGATTATCCCAATACCTAAAAAGGAGGATTTTTACAACTTTTACCACCAATATTAGGCGCTTTGGGTGCTCTTGGAGGCGAGGCTGCAGGTATAGCTAAAGCTGTTAACGACGCCAAAGCAAGAAAACAGCAACTGGAGGAACAGCGAAGACATAATCTAGCCATGGAACAGGCTGGCAAAGGATTATATTTACGTCCGTACAAGAAAGGGAAGGGATTGTATCTGGCACCGTACAAAAAAAAAACTCCCAATAAAGCTGCCCCGCCGTGCATTAACAAATGTAGATTTGTTGAAATTTGTTAAAAAATTACAAATTTCCAATTTCCGAGGTGTTTTATGAAGGATAATTTACCATCTATTATTAATGAAAATGAATGTGGTATCGTTAATTTGGATATTTCATCTGGACCCGGTACGCATTGGACTGTATATGCAAAGAAAAATGATACTATAGTATACTTCGACAGTTATGGAAATTTGAGACCCAACACCTTAACAAAATATTTTTAGCGATGGTAGCTTTGAAATATGGTAGCTGTAAAATATAATCAGGAAAAATTTCAAAATGATAATGCTTATAATTGCGGTCAACTGTGCCTAAAATTTTTATATAATATGTGTAACTAATCAATATGCTTTACTTCAAATATAGTTCACAATTAAACAACATGTCTTTTACTCTTTCCCTTTCGGGAAATTCCTCTATATTGAGTTCAGATTTTAATCCGCCGATATACTTAGATGATGATTCAGATTATGTTATTGGGTTATCTAACTTTGAAACATTCAACGTTATTCCAAACATCGATGAAACCAACAACAGACTCACTTACGGTAATATAACTATATTTATTCCGATAGGTGCCTATGAAATTGATGATATTAACGACTACCTACAGGAAACAATTCGACAACCTTGCGAGATTAAAATTATAGCCAATCGTATTACTTCAACTGTTAAAATTAACACAAATGTCGATATAGATTTTACAGCGGATAAATCAGTAGGTCATCTCTTAGGGTTTAAAAAGAGAGTTCTTAAAGCAAATCAATTAAACGAATCAGATTTTCCAGTCCAAATTATTAAGGTTAATGCTTTATGCATAGATTGCAACATAGCGGTCGGGTCATATTCCAACGGACAACCCGTTCATATAATTCATCAGTTCTTTCCAACCGTAGCGCCAGGATATAAAATAGTAGAAGCGCCCCAAAATATTCTATACTTAACCGTAAGTATCAAGACTATCAACAACTTGAGTATTAAAATACTCGATCAGGACGGAAACCTTGTCAATTTTCGTGAAGAAGTCGTAACGGTAAGACTACATCTAAAGAAACTCTCATAGAACATGGTGGTTCAGTACATCGTAGTACAATGTCCTGCTTTTAAGCGCAGTTATAAAAGGAGAAACAAAAGCAAACCTCCGATTAGTTCGAAAAGAAGCACTAACAAAGTAACACGTGAAAATAAATTATTTTTAAAATCCGTGGGTATAATGGATATTTTGAATATTATCCAGCAACCCCTCCTAGATAATTCCATCGCTAGTTTGGAGTTCCATAACTATCAACCGTTCGTAACTTCTAAATTTGATTATAATGACGAAATTAGAATTGCAATTCAAGAACTGGACGCGTATATTTTACCCTGTGAAAGCATGCTGTACTTAGAGGGAAAATTAACAAAGGAAAATTAACAAAATGCTGGATGGTTTCCGAAAGAAACCTTAATACCAGACACCGATAAATTTATTGTATGCATACCCCTTAAAATGTTGACGGGGTTTTTTGAAGACTACGGAAAATTTTTTTTAAATATGAAACAAGAATTAGTTCTGATTCGAAGCAGTAATGACTTGGACGCAGTAACATCTATTGATGAAACAGAAAAACCTAAGATAACTATTGAAAAACTTTATTGGAGAGTTCCACACGTGACTGTAGGAATCCCACAACAATTATTGGCTTTAACTAAAATTTTGGATAAAAATGGTGAAATATTGCTTCCGTTTAGAAGTTGGGAACTTGTTGAATATTATATAATAATATTAATATTGACTGAGACTAAGAGACATACTTGGCCGGTCAAAACGACCACTAAACTAGAAACTTCTCGTCATATTATTGTCGCTTTTCAAAAAAATAAGAAAAATAAAATAACTTCTAATATGAGTGAATTTGATAATGTTAACCTTATAAATATTAGAGCATTTTTAAATTCCGATAGATATCCATACAATGATCTGTTACTTAACTTCAACGAAAATAAATACGCGACACTTTATGAGATGTTTTCTAATTTTCGTCAGTCGTACTATGAAACAGGTAACCAACCAATATTTAACCCAACTGACTTTAAAAAATCTCACCTATAGCACACATTGATTGTTCTCGTCAAAAAGAAACAATACAGTCAGGATCGGTTGTCCTTAGACTTGAATTGGAAATGAGTGAAAACATATCCAGCGAAACTACTGCGTACTGCTTAATTTT